GAATTTGTATTTTATTCTCTAATAATAACATAACTCGAATCTTTGAAAATGTAAAAAATAAAAAAATTAGATGTGGCAACAAACGGGGCAAAAAGTTGCCCCGTCGGGGCGGGGTTTGGGGGATGGGCCCCACCCCTGCCCCCATTTCCATCCCTAGTGAATTATAATTCCTGACCAATTAACATTGACCTATGAACATAAATTATTGATCTATGATCAATTCTATTTGATCTGTGACCTGTAACAAGTGTACAAAGATATGTTAAATGTTATCAGTTCACATGTCACATGTCATTGTACCATTATCACAAATTTTCTACTTTATTGGTCACAGGTTAACCCAATTTATTGGTCACTATTCATGTTTATGCAACATCAACCTAGATCCACAACCACCATCTACACCACTACAACTACAACCACTACCATCATTGCGAACACCACTACAGTGCACCGTATCGAAAAAATACCCATAAAAAATCACCAACAAACCACCCACAACAAACAAGACAAATAACGAACACAAAATAGGAAACAACACCACCAAACAACTACAGTAACTAGAGACATGCCATTCATTATAACCACTACCACATCCACATCATATCCAAAACCAACATCACCACCTTTACATCAAATCCAAATCCACCACCAATAACCCACCATCATTGCCTTTTTTCCCTTACTAAATTAACCAATCTCAACAAAACTACAGGTTGAAACTCACCAACGAAGGCAGAAGTAAAATGGAGAAAGAAATCGAAAACGGGTGCAATTGGAGACTGGTGGTGGTTTTTAAGGTGGGAAGAATGGTGATTGGTGGATTTTTTCTTCTGGCCAACGAATGAGGATTTTCTGCAATCAAACGATGAAGTCGATGGTGGACAGATTATGTAGAAAGCGGTCTTGAAGCAACTGCTGTAGGGCGTGGACTTGGAATAGAGATAATGTGGGATGGGAAACTTGGTGATGGTTCGATGATTTAGTGGGATATCAATGAAATTGGTAGGCCACTGAAGTGAAATGCAGCATTGGTTGATGGAGTGGGAGTGGTGGGTGGCTATAGACGTTATGTGAAGGTGGAAAGGTATATTTTCGGTGGAAATAATGGTGGCAACGGACAGAGGTGAAGATGGAGAGGTGTTAGATTTTGGATTTGTGAGTTCAACTGGGGGAGAAATCGATTAAGTGATAGGTAGGGTGGTGTGAGGTGAGGTGAGGTGAGGTCTCTTTATACTTAATGGCCCAGCAACAATTATAACACAAGTAGTGTCTACCTCGTTCTGTTTATTTAGTTAAAACAATTAATAAAAATTTAAGTTAAAGTTAATAATTAACTTCAACAACATATAAATTCATAACTTTCATCCAAATTTTATCAAATTTATCAAAATTTGCTAAAAATATGACTTTTAGAAAATAAAACAGGGGCTAGATATGAAAAATAACATACTATCCTTTTTTGTGGTAGAAGTGCACTATAAGACTCATGTAGTTTTGTCAATGTATATTATCTAGCATATCACCTTAACTATACATGTTATTCAAGACGTTTATATACGAGAATGGACGGGCACTATTTTTTTCGTTCGTTGATCATTAACTCAGTACGTATCATGTTTACTTGCATAATGTATGTACATACCAATGGTAGAAAGAAGGTCAAAGTTTCCCCATCACAACTGATGAACACATTGACACCATCCATATCTTCAATGTCAATAAATCAAAATTTTAACTTTTGATGTCCATCGAGAATAATACAAAGCACAATATGATTTCAAACGAATATAATTAACAATAAATGTAACATGCAATACACTTCATGCAACATTTGCATCACATCATTGTTGGAGAAAAGCGAGTGATTTGTGTATAAATTTTATAATTAACACAACAAAATAATAAATATAATACAACAATAAAAAAATAGAAGTTCAGAAAAAAGCCCTAGTGAGTTACGTCAAGGACGTTGTTTTAAAGTCTGTGTCCTCCTCTTCGTGCATGTACTTCAGCACTATAGAGAAAACAAGTTATTTGAGTGCAAGCCAATGTTTGCAACCACATGAATTTTCTTCTTCATGGTGCAAAATTTATCAATAAAGTGAATATCAAAATATTTCTTCATTAGATGGTCAACAGTCAGCAACTTACTTTCCCTATCCAGGCGCATAATATACCCCAGACATCTTCTCAACCTGCTTAATTTTTGTTGTGAATGCAATATCTCATGCACCTTAAATTTTGTAGGACATAGCATTTCCAACAGTCACCTCACCATGGTTAACTTCTACAAGTTTTGAAAATAAATTCTAGTTTCCAGTCATACGTTGTTGGCTCCACTATTCAAATACCAAATATTATCAACACTTCCATTGAAGTGATTAATAAGATTTCGTGTGACTTCTCATATTTATCCTCATATACGAAGTCGAGTTCACATCTTTTCTCTGGATATTTTATCCAACAAGCACGCATTTTATAATTGATTTTATGCAATGAAAACATTCAATATAGGCATTTTACTTTTTTGATTATAAGTGTCACACCCTCTTCTGCTTTGAGAATAGTGTAAGGATTGTTTCTCTTCCACTTCTTTTAACTCTTCATTTCCTTTGTCTCGTCCATGTTGATCACAAAAAATCTCCCACCTCCTCTTCCTTGTCCATGACCTCTTCCATATCAACGATGAGAGCCACAACCTCCCGTAAATGTGAACTGAGACTTTAAAGCTTGATCATGAGAAGAAGTAATTTGAGGACTTCTTTAAATAATTCTAATTTTATAAGCCTTTATTCCTCCTTTCAAACTCTCTAAAGACATTGATGAAAGGTCCTGTGATTCTTAATCAGTTTTAAGAGCTTAACAAAAAAAAAAAAAGAAATTTTAAACAATAAACAAAATAATGTCCCTATTTGGTGGGGATTAAATTTTGATTTTTAGTAAATTTTAATAAAAGTTTTTGAAACGTGTGGTTGAAATGTTGTGGGACCCATGAAATATGTGGTTAAATTGATTATTTGACTTTGACTTAGATTAAAATCTGATTTAAATCAATACTAAACATGACCATATTATAATAGTGTTAATTGATATACTTGGAGAGTTTTAATTTTTATTAATTCATAAAATATAGGAAAATGATTAATTAACTTAATAAAATATAAATAACTATTTATACAATAATACAATACACTACAGCCAAATCAACGGTACAATATACTGTTGCCAAACCAAAGGTACAATATATTATAGCCAAACCAAATGTATTTTTATTCCACAACGAAACTTTGCTACAAAATCCTTAGAGAAGCCGTCTATAAATTAGCGGACTAATAAATGTGTAAGCATCCTTTTGGGCCTTTCAATCTATTAGCCAAAAAGTTGAGAAGGTTTATGTAGTGTAAAAAAATTAATAAAATAATAACAATAATAATAATGCGCGTCAAGGCGCGCCTTAAAGAGATCAACACTTCTTTTGATCGCTAAATTAGCACATAGGTCCCAGGCGTGTACATTTTTGCCACGCCTCGCACCTTGGCGACACTTAGGGGCTACCAAGGTGCGTCATTTAGAACAATGCATCTGATTCATTATAGAATTAACTCTTGTAAAATATTATATAATTTTTCATGGTCTTTCATCTTCAACTTCTCAAATTCCGCCCTCGAGGATTGCAAATGAACCTTCTTGACTTGATCGTGGCCAGAGTAAGTTGTCCCAAGAATTTCCCACGCTTCATGGGGAACTTTTTTGCCTTGGTTATTCTCTCATAAACTGCAATTTCAGTTGCTTGGTATATTTGATCTTTTTGTTTCTTGTTCTTCAAGAGGTTTCTTTGTGCTTTTGACAATTGAATTTTATTTTTGGGTGATTAGACTCCTTCTACAACACTCCATAAGTTTTGAGATTCAAGACATAACTTCATTAGATTACTCCAATAATCAAACTTTCCTCCATTAAAACGAGGCACAAGTAATACAAGATTTGATGCTGGATTTTTTTATTTTTATTTTTATTTTTATTTTTTTGGTACCAGGCTCTAATACCAGTTTGAAGGCAATATTATTCGGATAATTTGGAGAAATATAATCTAAAAAATACTTCTTAAAGCCTTAAAAAATACTACATGTGGTCCTATTTATACACATCGAGAGGACATAGGAACCAACAAAATATTTAACACTTGACTAGGTTCAAACTATGGAACTCTGTAAGACACCTGACTAGATTCAAATACACGAATACTATGCTATAAAACATTGACTAGATTCAAATACGTAAATTATTCTAGAAAATATGATGGCCCAATTTGATTTATTCCAACAGTAAATTCTCTCTTGAAGTTTTGAATGTTAATTAGTTTCCTTCAATTCTTTGTTTCCTATTGATATGAGGAAAGTGCAAGCAAATTACCAACAAAGCAAAGAGTGACAAACATTAGATTTATTTAACTTGGACATAATGGATAATGCATGAGCCGACATTAGATTGATTTTCATTTGTTGCTTGCATTGGAATTAATGGATAATTAGCTCATTGTGTAAGTAGATTGTCGTGAAATATGAAACCTTGGTAATTTCAATCACTTGAATCCTCGTTCTAATTAGTTATGTTGATTTCATTTGCTTATTGCCTTTTTCTTTAGTTATTTCAAAAACCAACTCTAATATTTTAAACTAGACTAGAGTTATAATTAATTAGATTAAATTAGGCTTTCAATACAATCTTTACGGGTTCGACATCATTGCTTACTTTTCCATATTCCAAAAAAGATTTGTATGCTTCCAAGTATTTAAAATTTTACGGCACAAGAACTTAAATATTTATCGTGCAAAATATTGGAATATACTTTGCTTTCCTCTCTAGTTTGGAACATATGTTGCTGTCCTCCCAAGTATGGAACATATGTTTCTGTCATCCCAAGTTTGGAACATATGTTTCTGTCATCCCAAGCTTGGAACATCTTGTGTAATATATATACAGTGACAAAGAGATTGATTGGTGAAACATTAGTAGTATCTAAGATGGCAAATAATGAAGGGACTACAAGCTCCAATGTGCAATCGGGTGAAATGATACCTGTTCCAATTCTTGAGAAAGGAGTTTTTCGTTTTGATTGTTCAGTAAATGATAGAAATAATGCATTACCGAGCATTTCTTTCAAAAATCCAAAAGACAGAGATACACCAATTACGAACAGTGATCTAAACCCAACCTACACTCCTACATTTGAATGTGTTAAGGAAAAACGAACAGTCAATATTGAGGTAATATTATTTATCATCGCGCTTTCAGAATTTTACATACTTGGATGTTGTTAAAACATTTTGATTCCATAGTTTTTTATAAATTAGATATCTTAATATACTGGATCAAACTTTTCTTTGTTTTAGTTGCCGTCTGGCACCTCTTTTTATGGAACTGGAGAAGTTAGTGGGCGGCTGGAGCGAACCGGAAAGACAGTAAGCTACTTGATCCAGCTTTTAAGTCACTAAGTATAGTTGTATACTGTTCTTCAAGTACGTTCTACCTTTACTATAAACAGATTTTTACTTGGAATACTAATGCGTACGGCTATGGTTAGGGGACAACTTCCTTGTATCAATCCCATCCTTGGGTACTAGCAGTTCTCCGTGATGGAAAAGCATTAGGGGTTCTTGCAGATACTACGAGACAATGTGAGGTACTCGTGAATTTCTTGGTTATTTTGTGAGATTAATTATTTGTCAAAATAGCTTTTTAAAAGTCATGTTGTTGCTTGAGCAGATTAACTTGAGTAAGGAATCAAATATAAAGATCGTAGCTCCGATATCATATCCTTTGATCACATTTGGTCCATTTGATTCACCAACAGATGTTCTCATGTCTTTCTCCCGGGCTGTTGGTAATTACTATCACACATTTTTCATTTTCCTGTCATTCTAAATAGTTTTTACGCCTCTACTTAGGGGCATTTGGGACTGTATAGAGCATAATCTTACAGCTCACTAGGAGTATATTTGCATTCATAATGTTGCCTTTTCTGCTTCCTTTGTAACTGAAATTCATAAATTCCGACTTTTATGTGTTGTTACATAGTTTTAAACCAAGACTACGCTTTTGCTAGTGCTATACTTTACTTGTAATCTTACCCTTTCAACTACCCACAAGTTGAGTTGCAGGGAAAAATATAAAATAATGTTGCATTTTTTACTTTCCATATAATTTGAGTTATAGAAAAAGTCTAATGTGTCAATACGAGTTCCACAATCAAATTTGTCTTTCGTCACACACTATTATTGTTTTGATCTGTCTACGTACCTTCCCTGCTGCTTTTATTTGATTGAGGAATTTTGCTACCAGGTACTGTTTTTATGCCACCCAAATGGTCATTGGGCTATCATCAATCTAATCGGAGCGATGATCCTGATGAGCTTCGTAAGGTTGACAATATATAGTGTTCAGATTTCTTATTTGCACAATTGCACATACACCTTCTTCTACTTCTTTCTCCTTTGTCTTAAACTTGTGGTCCTCTTTAAATGCTATGAACTTTCTTGTGTCACACGAACAATTTGAACTTGGAATTTTGTTATGGGAAGCTCATATTGTTATTACTATTGTTAAATTTCAGCTAGTTTCTTCAAGCATGTTTACGTTTAACATTAAGCTCATTTTTCACTTGCCCAATGCAGATTCCAACGAAATTTCGTGAAAAAAAAATACCTTGTGACGTCATATGGATGGACACAGAGTACATGGATGATTTTCGATGTTTCACATTCAATAAGGCATGTTCCATCTACTTAAAAAGTTGGTTTGTTCTAGAGATGAATTATAAAACATACTTTTGTTGTTTATATCTATCTTAGGACCGGTTCTCGGATCCGAAGTCTCTTGCAGACTATCTTCATCAAAATGGTTTCAAAGCAAACTGGATGCTTGACCCAAGGATCAAATGTGTAAAGGGCTATTTCGTCTACGACACTGGTTCTGAAAGAGATATCTGGACTCAAACTTCTAGCGGGGAGCCGTTTGAAGGTACTTATAATACCTTCATCCCTCCTCACCATCTTGCAGAAAAAAAAAAAATAATAATAATAATAATAATAATAAGCAAGAAGAAAACTGGAAAAAAGCGAGAACGTGTGGGCAGAAAACGTTTTGATTACTTGAAATTTAGTCTTTTAATATTAATTTTATCTGCTTCCATCATTAGGTGAGGCGTGGTCTGAACGTTGTGTATTTCCCGACTTCACAAAATCAGAAGCTCGTTCATGGTGGGCTAGTCTTGTCAAGGACTTTGTTACTAATGGTGTGGATGGTTTAGGAAATGATATGAATGAACCGGCTATTTTCAAGGTGAAGTTCAAACTTTGTTAGAAGTACATCTCTTTCCTGGTTTTGCATAACATATTTTGTTGCAGACTGAAACGGAGACAATGCCCGAGAGCAATATTCATAGGGGAGATCCAGAATATGGAGGCAAACAGAACCATTCACACTATCACAATGTACTGCTTGGCCCTGGACTCTTCTTTAAGTACTTAAACTTTACTCTTGAAATTGACACGAGTAGCTGAAGCTTTTTAGTTTGCGCAGTAGTAGAAAATGAAATATAATCCACTAATTAATGATTTTCTGTCACATCATGTATAATATAAGTTGCTTATTTCAGGTTTATGGAATGCTGATGGCAAGATCAACATATGAAGGCATGAAACTAGCTAATGAAAAAAAACGTCCATTTGTCCTTACTCGAGCTGGGTTCGTGGGAAGCCAAAGGTATGCTGCTACGTGGACAGGAGATAATAAGTCTACTTGGAAGCATCTTCAAATGAGTATCCCTATGGTTCTTAATCTGGTAAGTGGAAGATATTGCGAAATATGTCTCTGGAAACCATAGAGGAGACAACATTGTTTTGTGTTTTCAATGTGTCCCTGTTCAAGACTCAAAAACTGTTCCCCCTACGGTACTTGTATGCTATCAGTCATTGAGAAATACCTGTGCTGTCAATGGGCGAAGGAGACCAAATTATCGGAGGAGTTCCCCGGAGGGAGAACGTAGGATATCCCTCATGGGCACAGTATGTTAGATTTGTTTCTTTTTTTATATATCGAAGTCAAATTTTCATGCTTCAAGCCCACAAGGAGGGATTTGGAAGCATGTTTCTGCAAATGATAAGCCTCATGAGGGACTTGAAAGCATATGCTAATTCTCGTGTGTATGCATGCACGTGTGAGAATGAATTTATGTGCTTGTGTTAAGAATCTTTTCTCAAAAAATATATGCTTTTATTCAAGTATTACTTTAATGGAAGAGGGAGATAAAAAGTGACTCCCGCACTTATCCTTTCTTCTTGTGATATAATGATATTTCTATTTTATTTTTCAACTTTTACCGGCACAGATACTTGGGAGAGTCTGCCTTATTTAATTTTTCATTGAATTAAAAAAATGCTGCCACTTTTAATTTTTTCCTCTCCCTATAGTTGATCACATTAATGAGCTTGTGTCCAGGGACTTAGTGGACAGCCATTTTCAGGGCCAGATATTGGGGGATTTATTGGGAATGCAACACCAAAGCTGTTTGCAAGGTGGATGGGTGTGGGTGCTATGTTTCCTTTTTGTCGTGGGCATTCTGATAAATCTAGCAAAAATCGTGAGCCTTGGTCCTTCGGAGAAGAGGTTGGTCTTTGTTCAAAAATTAGTGAAGTTCATATGTAAGCTTTTTGTTAAATGATTTTTACAAGAACTTCACGTAGTTAGGATAAGCTGACTCATGCTGTAAGGTTTATACAGTGTATTAACTAAGCAAAACTCGTGCGTTATGTTCGCATAGCATCAGCATTTTCAATAAGCCTCTTTACAATGATATAGTATACGTAAGGGCATAGTTCATTTAGCCCCTGGTCGGTGGAGATTAAAATCATGTTAAAATTTCAAATTAAAGTCAACAGTTAATTTTAACCACACATTCATAAGACCACAACTTTTCAACCAAATATTTCACCAACTTTTATCAAAATTTATTAAAAATATTTTAATAAAAAATTCAGATGTTATAGCTAGTTGAACCCTTTTTAAAAGCATAAATTCTTTTACAAGGCGATGACTTGCATGTAAAATGTATCTTACGAAATTAAATGATGATTGGTGATATACAGTCATTTTAGGGCCTTCAACTCTGAGTTCCACTTCCATCTCATCTTTTACCTGAATTTTTTAATTGTTTGAAGTTGAAAAATCTATGTAGATAGTTTAATTGTTTTACCTGAAACGTTATATCTTTGCATTATACTTCTATTCTCCATGTTTAATCAGAGCTATCTTCTTGTACTGGTACAGAAATAATATTATGGTATTTCAACTAAATTTCTGTTGATACATCCTAATTTTACTACTCGTGACATTGCTATCAATGCATTTACTTTAAGATTACTGCTTGCTACTCTTCATTTCCTCAAGTGTGTCTCTTATCTCTCTCAGTGTGAAGAAGTTTGTCGATTGGCATTGAAGAGGCGATATAGGCTTTTACCTCACATATATAATCTGTTTTACTTGGCACATAAACAAGGTATCCCAGTGGCAACTCCGACCTTTTTTGCTGGTGAGTTCCTATGAGGGTCTATTAACTGGACTTCCTGACATTTGCATTAGAGTGCATTCGCCTGTATTTGTTTGTTATTAATGTTAAGATTCTTTTGCAGATACCAAAGATATGGGGTTAAGAAAACAAGATAATTCATTCTTGTTGGGACCAGTTCTTGTATATGCCAGGTTCTCACCTCTTTTGAGCTTAAAAACAACAGTTGACTCCATATTTGGAATTAATACGTGTATTGCAATCAAATATGCTCTCTTTTACGAGTTAAAATTTCCCTCTTATTTTTCTGTTAATTATTTTTCATTTCATCTATAGGTGCTAAAATAGGAAGTATTATTCTTCTAAGTTTTTTTGTTGTACTGTATTCGATTACACAGCACCAGAGATGATACTGTGTCAAAGCTTCAACTGCTGCGCAAGTTGCCTGAAGGAATATGGACTAGTTTTGATTTTGATGATTATCATCAGGTACTTCTAAATAACCTATTATATGACCTTTTATTTTATTTTGAATTTTCTTTTATCAATAATTTGTGCCTTTTTAACTTTTTCCTACTTCTGGTTGTACAAGGATTTGCCAACCCTGTACCTAAAAGGAGGATCCATCATTCCTTTGGCTCCTCCTCGTCAAAATGTTGATGAAGCTAAACGTGAAGATGATTTAACTCTGCTGGTGGCTTTGGATGAAGGTGGTAACTTTTCCGTTTCATATATTTTGCTGGCACGTATCATTACTTTTGCTGAAGGTTGCAAACGAATAATATTTTTGTTTATGCAGTTGGTTTAATTAAATGAATTGAATTGTTTCTCTTTAATCACAGGTAAAGCTGAAGGTTTCCTCTATGAAGATGCTGGTGATGGATATGATTACCTTAATGGAGGATACTTGTTGACAACATATGTTGCTGAAACTCAGACTTCCTCGGTAACCATAAAAGTTTCGAAAACTGAAGGGTCTTGGGAGAGACCAAAGCGCCGTTTAAATGTGAATTTACTGATTCAAACTGGTTCTGTGGTATGTATTTATTTCAAAGTACATTATTTTTCAGTGAAGATTTTGCTTGACCAAAAGTGTAAAATCTTCCTTCTGTTGAATCTAATTGTTGTAATATTTTTCGGTTTGTCAAATAGCTTGATGCATGGGGTATTGATGGGGAGATTGTGCAAATCAAATTTCCCACACTAGGTGGTGCAGCTTGAAGAAAGTGCAGAAAGGTTGGTTTCGAAGGCAGTGAATTGGAATAAAAAATTATAAGAATTGTGGAGCGGACTCCCACTCTTCTTGATTGTTAACTCTTCCTTCCATTTGTGTCTATATTGTTAAGGCAATATCAATTGATTATATAACAATAAGAGCACTGAAATTGAAAGCAAGAATTAAAACCCCCCCTTGAAATGGAATTGGCAAGCAAAAGTGGATTGTACAAGGCTCAGATCAATACCCAAACCACAAGGCAACTCCAACACCAGACTATCCCAAAGAAACTTGGATCACAACCATGAAGGAATGACCCAAAACAAGGTTGTGAAGTGGAGGCAGAGAGGCTATCAATTGGACAGCAAACATGGGCGAACGGAGGAACGAAACAAGGGCAGCCGGGGATCAAGATGATGGTCAGAGATAAACTCTGGCGAGCAAGGGCCAGTCACAGAGAAATGGAGGTGGCAGCCGGTGGTCGAAAGACCAAAATCACAGAGGGCAGACCCTATCTCTCAAAAAAAGGAGGGGGTCATAGAAGAAAACGTCTGTATTGTAATGATAATTCACAAAGGCTAAGTGAATTATGGCCTCGTTTGGTACCCATTTTTTTTAAAATGTATTTTTCTTTGTTTTCTTTTTAACTGAACATTCTTCATTAAAATAATATTACACGTAATCAAAAACTTTTCTTTATTTTTCAACCACACATTTCCTATCAATTTACTATTCAAAAATACATTTTCACGTAAAAATGTCTCCCAAACACCCTCTATATAATACGTGGAAATTACTCAATTCTATACTTTAAAAATTCACAATTTTAAAATAAGATGAGTAGTTTAATATTTCAAAAATCGGAGATTTTATTTTAATTAATATTTTTTAAAATAAATATTTTTTACTAAATATATATACTACATTACACACAAACCCTAATTAATTCCCAAAATTCTCTCTCTCTCTCTCTACTTTCTCTCTCGTCTCACTCTCTCTCTATATTTCTCTCTCATCTCACCTCTCAACCGCCTACTATCGATAGGGGGACATAAAAAGTGAATCGTCGGCGTCGGAGTGAAGCCAATTGAAGCAATGTCACCCTCACCACTCTCTACTCCAACAACGCCGACGACTCTTTCTCTCCTCTTCTCTCTTATTTCTGCAGCAGATCTACTGTGAGTTGTGTGGTGGGGGTGTGGCGGTGGTGGCTGTGATGATTTAAAGGGATGGCTATGGTTTGTTTGAAGTGTTGCGGTGGGTTGTTTGAGGTGTTGCAATGGTGTCTGATCTGGCAGTCGGGGTGGCTGTGGTAGTGTGTGAGCATCGTCGGAGGCTTGCAGATCGTGGGGTTGAGGGCGTAAATCGTGGCGATGATGGCGCAAATCATGGCTATAGCGGTGTAGATCGTTGTGTTGATTTTTTTTTTTCTTGGTAGTTGGATGCGTTGCAGGCTATGGCGGCATGGTGTTGGTGACGGCAACGTCGATCGAGTGGATCAATAGTGTCTGTTACTAGTAAATTGCTTGACTCGGTTGTGGTGGTGAATGCGGTGGTTGTGGAAATGGGTGACGTTGGTGGTGTTAGCTGTGGCGTTTGCAGTGGCAATTTAAGGAAATTGGTGGATGCGATTTGGGGTGGGTTTTGCTGACTGATGTGGCAGTGGTGGTAGTGGTGCTAAAAATTGTGACTATGCCTATGACTCTCAATTGTGACTTACAATTAGATATGTGACCTAAAAATTGTGACTTTGACTCACAATTGATTAAGTTGTAATCGAAAAATTAATCGTAACCAATTAATTAGATAACTGTGACCTAAATATATTAAATTAATTAATTAAATAATTAAATCATAAATAAGTTTTAATAGAAATCTGATTTTCGATTTTCGAAACGTATTTTCTTAATTTTGAAATCTACCATACTTAATCTCCCATGAGAAAATTTCATAAGAGATTAAATATGGCATATTTCAAAATTTAAAAAAAAAAAGAGTTTCAAACTTCACAAATCAGATTTTTATTAAAATTTATTTATGATTTTAATTTATTTATTTATTAAATAAATATATTTAGGTCACATATCTATATAATTTGGTCACAAATTGACAATTTAATTAGTCATTTATTATTTTTTGGTTACAAATGAGAAATTTTATGCCACAAATTATTTTACTATTACAATTCAAAAATTTGGTAGGTCACAATTTATTCATCAGTCACAAATCAAAAAATTAATTAGTCACAGAATAAATTTTAGTCACGACTTATTTTTCAATCACAAATCAAAAATTTTATAAGTCATATATTGTTTTTTGGGTCAAAAATAAAAAAATTTATATATCATAAATCACAAATATTATATGTGACAACTCATTAGACAGTCACAAATTATTGATTTTTTAGGTCACACATTATTTTTTTATCACAATTTATCTTTTTCATTGGTTATATATATTTTTTTGTTGTCACAAATTAACCAATTTACTAGCCACAATCAACTAAATAATTTGTGATCACTACCAACACTTACGACCACTGCTTCAATGCTGCCTTCAACAGCACCACCACCACATTGACCATAAATTAATCAATTTATTGGTTACAACTTTGAATCAACCAATAAAATTGTCACACCCCATCCCATCACGCCAAAACACCTAACCACCGCCAATGACATTGCCCACCGCCACCACCGTCGACATCACCACCACTACTATCTATATCAATAAAATCACCGCAACCTCCAAATCCAACAACGCCATTTGTCCACCTTCGATCCAACAAAACTCACATTCACTACAAGCATCCACCAACAACTGCTACCAACTCCACCACAGGATCCACCACCATGGCCAACAGCCGCCACTCCCATTCACTATGTGAGGCTCCTCTGCCACCATAGCATCGCAACCATCACAAATCGCTGCAAGGATCATCGCCAGCAACCACTACCACAAAACTCACTTCCACCGCCAAATCCACCATCGCCAACAATCGCCACCCCCATGTACTGCGTGAAGCGCCTCTACCACCATTGCAAATTCACATCCACCCAAACCGCCAAGTTCACCACCACAACCGCCACCACAAAATCGCCATCACAGATGCATGAAGAGATCTAATGCAGATACAGGAGAGGAGATAAGAGGGAGGAGCCGATGTCATTGGATTGGAGATGGGTGATGACGACGCTTCTTGTATTGACTTTACTCTGGCGCTAACAGTCTAATTTCTTCCTCCGATTGTTGAGGCAATGGTTGAGTGGTAAGAATAGAGAGAGAGAAGTAATGTTTAATTATTTTTTATATATATTAACTAATTAATTAAAAAAGTTCTGATTTGTGATATACTAAACATGCCATTTGATTTATGAAATGGGACTTTAAAATCTATTAGCATCTGTAATTTTCACTGTAATTATTTGGGTACAGGAGAGTATTAGCTCATCTCCAATAATTGGTTTGCCAATTGTGGTTCAAGTATAATAAGCTTTTAACAAAGCTTGTAATTTTAATCCAATTCAACAAAACATCATAGCCTCGGATTTTTTTTTATATCAAAATACTTGACAAACCTCCACCTACCTGCCAAAAAAGGGGGAAAATAGTTTAGTAGTCGCGCAACGTGATTTCAAAAAAAAATTGAAACATCACATACCTTTACTGATGTTTAGAAGTGTAAGACAACTTCTAAACTTTATCAAGAGGAGTACATTATGCCCATATCTGCAAGGTTATAATTTACATGCACTTTCTCAAGTTTTATCAACTCTTGAGATACTACATCTCTAATAAAATGTAGCTTAACATCTATGTTTTTAGTGCGTTCATGAAACAAAGGATTTTTACAAAAATAAATAGCAGATTGACTATTAGAGTATAAAATCATATTATCACTAAAAACACCTAATTCATTAAGCAAATTTCTAAACCATAGAACTTCTTTAATAGCTTTTGCGGCAGCAATATAGTCAAATTCAGTAGTAGATAGAACAACAATATGTTGGAGTTGAGACTTTCAACTTACACAATGTAAACATATAAAAAGAAATAGATTTCCTATTATCTCTATCACCATTATAATTAGCATTTATAAAACCTTTAAGTTTCACACCCTGGTTAGCAAATTTATAAACTAAAATCACATCAAAAATACTCTTCAAGTACCTAAGCAACCACTTTAATGCCTCCTAATGTTTGGAACTAGAATTAGACAAGTACTTACTTAACACATTCACAGTGAAATCCAAATTAGGTCTAGTGCAAATCATAAAGTACATAACAGAGCCAATGATATTAGAATAAGGAATATTACTCATTAAGTATTTTTCTTCATTATTAGTAGGTGATTGTTCTTTTGGCAAAATAAAATGGTTTCCAAGAAGTACGGAAACAGGTTCATGCTAAATTTCTTCAAAACATTAAGCACATAAGGTGTTTGATGCACATACAAGCAAGAATTAGATCTAACCCTATTGATCTCTATATCAAGGATTCTCCTAACATGTACTAAGTCTTTCGTGTTAAATTTTTTCCCTAACTCCATTTTAATCTTGTTTATCGCTTTCATATTAGGTCAATTGCTAACACGTCGTCCATATAGCGTAACAAATACACACACTATTTATTAGCGCTATGATGTAGTACAAGCAATTGTCAAACTCACTCCTCTTAAAGCAATTGACAACACATAAGTATCAAACTTTTATACCACTGATGTAGAAATTGTGTTAACCCATAAAGAAAATTCTTTATAAAACACACATGATCAAGTGTAGCTTCACTTTCAAAACCTTGGGATTGATTCACGAATATCATTTCATCACGGTCACCATGCAAAAAAATAGTTTGACATCAAGTTGTTCAAGTTCGCGGTCATAGTAAGCAAGCATGAAACTAATAATAGTATACCTAACAATGGATGTAAAGATCTCATTATGATATACCCCTTCCTTCTGTGTGTACCCATCGGCTACTAATCTAACCTTATATCCCATGAGTTCACTCTCAGTGGTTTCCTCCTTAATCTTATAAACCTATTTGTATCCTGCTATAGATTTGTCCTTTGGTCAAGGAACTAAATCCCATGTTTGATTCTTGGTAAGAGAACCCATCTCTTCTCTCATGGCACCTAGTCATTCTTCACTTTTTTTCACTCATCATAGGTGTTTAACTCCTTATCAACTACTTCTTGATAACTAGTGTAGGCTATGATATAATCAGGCAATCTTTGGGTTCCCTATTTGGTCTTCTCTCTCTATCCTAGCTAATTGGTAGTCGATTAAAGGTTTTGGTCGATAGGATTGTCCTCAATAATTTCTTCATCGCCTTCTATCTCTATGTCATGCTAATTTTTTTTGTATCACTCTCTACCTTGCTCGAGGTATTGGGAATGTGAACACTCAATTGCTCCACCTCAACTATGGACTATTTCCATAGGGGAAGACCAAACATATATAACTCAGGGGTCGGCCATTATTTAATTCAAGTGGGACCCGCGCACTTTGTGAGGGTCGGCCACCCCGGGTGAAACATTTTCGGGCGAAGTGGCATTTTCCTTATTTGAAAAACTATTTTTAAAGTCAATAGTCATAATTTTTTCAACACACTTGTTGTCAACCAAGCTATGCATAAATATTATAAAAGTAGCTTTATTCTACCTTCAAACCCATATTTCTCCCTTGATTTTTAGGGATTTTGAAGAGTTTGGAGGTCTGGTTTTGCTCCAGAAGTATGTGCGTAACAATTTATTACACTATTGTTGAGGCCTGTTTAATAGAATTTATTTGGGAATAATGAGTTATATTTTTTGGAGAATATGTAATTAAAAAGTAAGAAAATTTTATTGGTTTGTGTAAAATATTTTATTGTGTGAATGTACGGTGGAGAATAATACTATAGCAAATAACTTAAATTTTTAAAAGATGACAAGCAAAGGCTAAAGCACATGTGTTGAGATGAAAATATTGATAAATGTTGGGCCCATCACGTGAAATGATTCTCCATTTAGAACGGTGTAACAAATTAATTGATTGAGAGGTCTAAGGTGGAGTGAGTTGATCGCCGGCTCAACTCGACTCGAATCACATGCAAATTATGCCCTTGTTTGAGTTGAGCCTCATTTTTTGAAAAAAATGCATTTTCAACAGTATTTTGACATCATTTCAACTACACATTCTTCGATAAAATAATATTATATGCAAATTCAAAAAAATTTCTTATTTTTTAACCACTCATTTCTCATCAATACACTATTCAAAAATTCATTCTTTTCCCCAAAATAGGGCTCAAACAAGGGCTTAGTAGTGAAGTTTATGTGAGAGTTGTCGACTTGCGAATTCATCGATGCAACCAGCTCACCATAAGTGAATGGAAAAGTAAATTTGATTAAAAAAATAAAATAAAATAAAATAAAATCGGTAGCTCAATTCGACTCAGATCCCTACCAAAGGACAAGTCAAGCTATACTTCGTTGAAACAAGTGAGCTCGTATGGTGGGTCCAGTCGAACCCAATGGTAGGCAAGTCGAGCGACTTGACTTGATCCATATAACACCCCTAAATTGATCTATATATCTATAAAACAATATGTTTAATATTTTTTAACAAATTTCTATTCAGTAATACTGTACATTCCTAATATATATCCTCTTGATTTGATACATATTCCTAACAAGTTACATGTGCAGTCTACTTGTACAGGGGGGGTTTCCAGGGTACATGTATCGTGGCTCGTAAAGAGAAAATTGGGCTCTGTTCCAGTTAAAATTTATCCATTTATGATTATTCTTGATAGCACTTATGTTCTCAGCTAAGCAAATATTAACTTAGTTCTAAATATTTTTTTATATAAACAATTAAATTAATCTATCTTTTTTTCTCTTCCTCTCTCTTTCAAACTTTTTTTTTTTTCTCTTTTTGTACATCAATCAGTAAATTATTATGTACAAGTAGCATTACTCAAAAAATAATTACACTTATCGGCTGAAAATAATAAAACAAGAAAATTTACACTTACAAATTTTAAGTACAAAAAGTATCGTACCGAATCGAACTAGAACCAACTAATTCAAAACCATAATGGTACATAGCAATGGTAAGAGTCGAGTAGAAAAACATGTTTGTATAATTATAGTTAAAAAAATTATTCAATCTCCCATTGAGACATACCACTTTCGTGGATCAAGATTCCTAACTTGAACACTTCATATTAAAACTATATACTTTTCTTGGAAATAAATTAAATCAAAGAGTACATTATTTCTCAATCCATACTCTTACTGCTGTACGAACATCCAATGCTGGATATCTCACACGCAGACTTGTTGAAATAGTTCAACACATTGTTGTACATCGGAGACTAGACCTGGGATGAGAGCAATATTTTTTACTTGGAAAACATTACATTGATGTTTGGGATTATGGTAGCGTAGATCAAATGTAATGTAAGTGGCGTTAAAGAATTACAATTTATGCCAAAGAAGAAAGGCGATTTAGTTCCATCAAACGAAAAATGGGAGAAATATAACAGGTGGCATGCCAAGTCTAGTGTTATTCTTGGTGGTCTTACCTGACCCATATTTCACTCTAATTTGTAATAATGTTATTTCTTCATGAAATGAAAAGAGAATTCTGTCGAAATTTGACTACGTCCCATGATGTTATAATCGTCACAAGACTAACCAACAAGCTTGTGTTGTGGTACTCCGACACTCGTAATGACTTGAAAGTTTATAAACAATTCATGAACATGATCCAAATATCGAGAGCAGTCTTTAGGTGTAAAATTCCTAGTGAACATATAAACTGCCTGAGAATCATGCCAGAAGTTTGAAATCCTTCATCAGCATTGCGATACTCCAATTAATTTGCATGTAGCGTTCACAACACGACAAAAAATTTTGAACATACATTTCGACTTCACATACCAAAAACAGGGCTGGCACCCAAGATAGTGAAGATACCATCAAGATTTTACTCTTTAAAACAGGATCACGCATCAATAGATCAAAAAATAATAATAATTCAGTAGCAATGATTATCATATCCAGCATACAAGTTACTTTTCTGTTTGTCATTCATTTACTCTCCATCCAAGGTAAAAATTCGAAACAACTTATTTGATTTTCCTTCATAAAGACATCGACATCAAACGACCCAAAACACCTACACCGTCAGCATAGCTTCTTCAAAGAACAAACCACAACTACGACTTCCAGGTTCAACTTCTTGCCAATCAAATGTCAGCTGCAAGGAAGTTCCCAGACAAAGTTACCTGCCAAACAAAAATTAGCGTTCAGCATATGCTTTGCACCATATAAAAGAGAATCACAAAATTAACAGGCCGCATATGAACACATAACTATAGGATTCAATAAGATAAAGTTGGTAAACCAGCCGAATGAAATGAAGCTCAACTATAGGGGTGACATAACCACTACTCACAAGCCACAAAATCTAGGTAAACCGTGTCAACCCTACATGTGCTCTTTTGTTTTATCAGCATCAACTCAATATCACTAGTGGAAATTCACTCTTCCAATCTGCAGCAGAACAAGAGCATCATTATTAGTCCATAGACAGCCACCCCGGGCCAAACACAGGCCCTGAAAATAAAGCCTTTAGAGAAAGTAAAGAAAACATTTTACATTTATGAAAGGACGAATTTGAAATTGCAAGATTCTGGCTTTGTCAAATGTTTTTTGGAAGCAAAGAGAAAAATTGGGTCTGCAAACAGTACAAGGAAATAGAAGGGATGAAGTAGGTAGAGTTAATGCTTGATAGGTACCTTCTCGCCTAATTTAAATGCTGGAAGACCCTTGTAAGGACATGTACTGCAACGGAAAGCATCACCTAGACCACACTGCGCAAACAAAATGCACGCATCAGATAAGGAGTAGGAAAATAAAACTAAAGCTCCATCTACAAACTCTAAAACTGCATAAAGCCTTGTGATCACATATCAACAAATTAGAACTCATGGCATCTCCGCACAAATTGGATAAGAGAAACTCGTGGAAACCAAAATCTCCATTTCGCTACCTATTCATATTACAAGTTGTAGCATAACAGTAAATTGCCAAAAGCAATACAATAATCAGGCACGGATTGACAATGATCAAGTTCAAACTCTGTAGAAAGTAATAACCAGAGAAGTTAGAAGATTTATATCATTTATCATGAATTTGATAATGATACTCTAAAGTTGATTTATCAAAAGAATTTCCCATATATATCATATATCTTCCTTTCGGCTTTATTTTGTAACACAAGCCAAGCATAAATCAACGTATGTGAACAAAGAACTGTAACTCTTCCAGCTATCTAACATTCAACATATGTAATATGCAATTGCAGAAAAGCCACGTCCCCTCAAGTATCAATGCTAGTACAGTTCTCCGCACACCCAGATAACAATAGCTCCCCTTTTCATTTGAAGTGTGCAGTTGGCTGACAAATAAAAGACCAACTTAACCTACATCTACAATGAGGAGATGGGTCTAGCCCCACAGTGAATATTCTAGGTGGCAATACACCACCACATCAGACCTTTTACGGAACAACACATTAACTCAACTCCCTCCTAAGGTCAATTGAAGGCCATAGAAAGTGAGGAGAAGACATCACACCAGTAGCCCAATCCAGCATTTTCAAGACAGAAATAGCCATTGTCCAATAGCAAAAACTTTAGGAGAGGATCTAAGAAATCCAAAATTAGAATTGTCATAAAATTGCCCATAAACGGTCCACTTCCAAATGCTGTGGCATGTTGTAGTAAACAGTAACAGACAGAGAAGCAAAATTATCAAATTAAACATACATTTCCACAAGCAGATTGAGGATTATCTAGCTGATCCATGGTAAGTCCAAGCTTCTGCACTTTCTCCTCTGCTTCAGCACGTCCACAAGTGCAATTTTTGCAGGCTTTCCTTGTGCTTCCAACTTCACAATCACCTATTCCAGAAGCAAACCGTGCAACTAGCATGATAGGAGCTAAAATAAAACATTGCAGAAATCAAAAACAGAGAAGTGGTTGATTATGACTGACCAGGTAGTGGCTGGGGTTTCTTCAGATCCTCTTCAGTTAGGAGACTATCCTCATCAATCAGATCCATATCATCATCGATTTGCACTTTAGGTAGAGACTGTGAGGTTTTCTTAATTGAGAAGGATGAACCAATCTTCCACGAAGGTTTCCTGCCTATAATCTGTGGAAAAGATAATTAAATTAAGGAATTTTCTTAATAACAAACATATATTTGACAGCCACATCAATATCTTGGTGACAAATAAAATTACACAAGTTCCTTGCAATCAAGGACACAACAAAAATGTGAAATTTAACATAGGAACTAAAAGCGTCTAAACAATTCAACATATAAATATAAAAATAGTGTACATAGCTTGTAGATAAAAAACGTTGGTTCCAGCATACTTTAGTCCGTCAGTGACTGCAGTGGATTCCTCAACTCTCATAATAAAAATTAACATGGAAAACTGGAAGCAATTATTTCAAAAAGGAGGATGATAAATCAGAATCCACTAAGGCAATGGAGCATAATTACCAAGCTCAGGCATTAACCCCACAACAGGTTTGAGCCATCAGGCAAATTCAACTTGTGAGTCATTGATTTAACCACAGTTCTGACGAAAATGATATAAAACATACTACTAGCGTAGGGGCCTCAGGAGCCCTTATGCAGATGATAAAGGAGTTTCTTCCAGTCCAGCATTTTGGAAATCCATTAAAGGAATGGGGCTAGTATTATAAAAGGCTAATCAGATGTTGTTCTCTTTCTGATGGGGGGAGTTGACAATTGAATCTAATTTTGACCATTATTTTCATATCCATAATAGTGCGAAAAGAAGGTCCAGCAGCTGCTGACAATGAAGTATGGTTACATGTAAGGTCACTACTAATGAATGGTGGGTGCATCGAGAATTATACTGATTTGAGCTCAATTTCCCTCAATCAGGGGCATCTCTGGAGATTAAAATTTCATTTAACGTATAATATGTACCAAAATGTAGTCCAAATATTAATAAAACGTGATAAAAATAATAAACATTTATTAATGAGCTAACAAATCCAATACTTTTCATCATTGAACCTCTTAATCAAATTCATCACAACAATCGCTTAATAAAATAATTATCAAATTAAGTGTTACTGAAAAATAAAGTGATAATAAATATAATCAATTAGAGGACAAGATACTTGAAAACTAAGCACTTAGACAAATGGGTGTGATACCCGACTTGGTCAGATAAACCAGTTCAGGACACTGGATTTTACAAAAAAAAAAAAAAAAAAAAACCCAGAG